AGGATGTATGATGTTGAGCATGCCATAGGGGCTGAAAACGAAAAAAGGCCTAATATTAAAACACAATGGAGAAAAGGTGAATCCAAAGTTATACATCAATTCCAAAGGTTGAGAAGGACGTTGACTCAAAGGAGACTGATGACAACGACGTACAAATGGAGGGGACCAATGATAGTGATGACGATGGCTCTACATCGTCGACTTCAGAAGTGCGAGATGCACATGCACAAGAAGAATCACCATATAACTTGTCTAATTGAGAATTGAGATTGAGATATACGAGTTGAAAGTTGATTATCTTTTATTTTTTCATGTCTTCATGGATTTTGGTGGTTGTACAAAATCTTTGGAGTTTGAATTTTAAAGTTTGGAATTTTGAATGTTTATGGGAAGTTTGGAATTTTGGACATGTTAGTTGAGATGGAATGGATTGTATGAGACGGAATGGATTGTATGTTATAATGTTGATTGTATGTTATAATGTTAATTGTATTAAAGATTAGCAACTACTTTGTATCTAGCAGGGGATTCAGAGTCTCAAACACTTAAATTGTTAGATATAATGAATAAAATAAAATATTATCACACAAATACCATCAAATTTTTATTATTCATTATTATATTTTTACGTTTTTATAATTCTTTAAATTTATTGATCGCATCAAAGGCGATGTGCCTGCATTAGGACTACATCGAGTAGCATTGCCACATCAACCCCCAACTACATCGGGTCCACTTCCTTCTATGGAGTAGGCTCAACGACCTCTGCGTAGTTAAAATTCTCATCAACTTTTTCTCGGGGATTTTCTAATACATATCTTAGAGTATTTTCCAGAGTTCTCAACTCTACCTTTACTGTATCACAATTGCTATGATTTTTCTTTTTATTACCCTTCTAAATGTGCTTCAACATAACATATTCCTAAAGCTTAACATCATAGCTAAAACTAAACTTAGGCAACTTAGGATATAGGCACCACAATATATATCTCGACTCCATCAACATAATCAAGGACAATGCACTTCTTTGATCTCAAACTTATTATCCTGACATAAGCAGGAGAATAAAAAATTCTTAAACGAAAATAATCAAGATTTTTTATCGATACATACCTCTTGACACTCTATTGCTATTAATAGTGACATGTTAATGAAGTACTATGTCATACTGACAAGCTCTAACTAGAAGTCCTTTACTAAACCAATATTACTCAAAATGTTGTGGGTCTTCTCTGGAAATGTCTTGTTCATGTGCTTAACAACTCCATTCTGTTGCAGTATCTTCATAATGGTGTACTGATGAATAATTTCTTTATTTTTGCAAAAATTCATGAACTTTGGTGAAGTTACTCTTCACCATTATAAGTCCTCAAGCACTTCACTTTCTTCTCAATTTATCTTGTGGCCTTAGCTTCCTAACACTTGAATGTGGTAAATACATTTTTCTTCTTCTTTTATGTGTAAAACCACAAATTCTTCGAAAAATCATCTATGAAGAGAACAAAAGTATACCTCATTTTGAGACAACTGACACAGGGCCCTATGCATCTAAATGAACATACTCAAGAATGTCTTTTGTGGAATGCACCAGCAGGTGCAATTTGCACACTACCATTTGTTATAGGCATAATTTTTACATAAGTCCAACTTGTTCTTCAACATGCCATTGCTCAACTAACGTTTACTCAGTTCCACTAGGCTTCAGTCATGTGGCCTTGCTAGATGCCACCACCATCACTGTACCACCAATGCCACTGCCGCCGCCACCGTTGCTTGCCTGCCACTACCACTATGCTACCACAATTCTTCTATTGCCTCTTAATACCACTCCAACAACACCACCACCACCACTCTACCAGCTCCGCCACAACCACCACCACTATCACATTGCCACCCCCACCACTATCACCCTTACGACCACCATTAAACCATCGCTTCCACCACCACTATCACACTACACAGTAAGAACTGATGATTCAAATTGTAACAAATGGCCATAGAAAAACGATGACAATTAACCAAATGGCCATTTGGTTAATTGTAAACCGGAAAAGACTATTTGGCAAGATTTTATCCCCAAGGTTAGGAAAATCATAACAAGTGCTTTAACCTCTCAAACAGGACACCCCTCTCACCTCGCATGGTCAACTCTGTTGGTCCAATACCTCTCTCTCTCTCTAACAAATATTATGGGCTTTTATTAATAGGATGCTTCAAAAGCATGATATTACAATGGAGTCAAAACATTTGGAACAAGAAGAAACGGGAGAGAATCTCTCTCTCTCTCTTACTCACGAGGGGTTGGTTTGAAGCTGCTATGAAGGACAGAGTTGGACAAATATGGATGATCTAGACTGCAGCTCCCTACTTAGAACAAGACAAAAATCAAATGAGGAATCTGGTTTAGGCATTGCATATGAGATCAAGCGGTAAAGTGTCCTGTTAATCTGGCTCAAAGTGCAAATAGTATTTTTTTTCATCCTAATAAAAGTAGTTGTGATGTTTTGTACTAATACCAACTATAGCCTGTCCATTGCATATTCACGTCACATGATGAACAATAACTTTTAAAAACTAATCATAAAGTGACATCTTTGGGAGTTCTTTATGTCCCTACAGCGTGTTACCTCTTCCAGACTTGCGTGGCAACCCTAAAATTCTCAACAAAGAGGAGAAAGGTGAAGAAATGATTTCAGATGAACCGGTTTCCGACTGACGTCGGGCCTGTGACGGGTCATCGGGCTCATCTCAACTTGCACGCTCAAAAGTCAAAACAGATATTGAGATCACGTATACTGTCTATTTTATATTTTATTCACTATATTTAACGTGTAATATTTTTCTTTCTATTATGGTGTGGGCTAGGGATGACCACGTCAAAGGCGTTGACACCAATTTCAATCAAATAAACTTTCAGGTTCCTCTCTCTCTCTGGGATGGGAACAGGTTCTTATACCGGTTTCATTCTAGTCGATTTGTCCCTGATCCGTACCCAACTTCTTAGGATAAGGTCCCTGCCTGACACAAACCTGATCCTGACCTCGGTAGGGTCCAAGTCATTTGAACCCAAACCCGATCCACAGGGTCCAGAACATGAATCCAAACCAAGATGCGGTTCAGGTCGACCTGCGGGGTTGGTGGCTCGTAACCCAATTGCCATCCCCTACTCTCTCTCCCCTTGGAGAATTATACTCTAAATGGATGGTTCAGATTTCCGAAGCAGCTATTCCATTTGAAATCAAAACAATAATCAACAGTTTATGCAATCAAGACCATTAATCCCTCAAGAGGAATCAGTCATCTACAGCATACGTCTGACATTGTCCAGGCCAGCATAACCAAGCCAGTTATTAATATGTAAAATATTTTCCTAGATACCATTGACCACTAGAAACCCTCTTGACTTTTCATTAGAAAAACAAGGTCTGAACCCTTCAAAATGGCTTGTAGGTATGAGACTAATAAACAAATGGGGGTGGTTTCTATAAGGTTGCAACGTTAAACAATCCAATTAAGGCATACCTCCAAATTTTATCATAACTTATAATTTTGGTGTAAAATATTCTTAAAATTATCTACAAATCTATTTTTGTATCTAATTATAAAATTTCAAACTCAAAAAATGGTTAAAATCAAATAGATCCATGAAAATCTTGAAAATGGATGGTTTCGATAAAGTGTTGCAAAATGCACTATTTCTAGTACTCAAAATATTTTCTTTTTTTATATTCATATATCTCGAGGTCGAGATTATCAATTAGAAAGTTTTTCTACATTAAAACAATATTTTCCAATACATTTTTTAGGTGCATCCATATTTCTACATTTGAAGGTTGCAACCTTATATAAACTTTTTCCTAAACAAATTAACGAAAATTGATAATCACTATTCACTATTTGTCAAAAACACCATTTACTTGCTTATTTTTAATTGATCCGTCTTCTCCGTACGCATAACATATAGGTCACCTGGACCAATTCCAATCCATTTGTACTATCCAATAGAAAAAGGGTTCTTGTTGTCATGTTAAAAGAACGAAAAATATAAAAATAGCCATTTAATTTTACGACCTGGTTAATATGCGGCCAAGCCCTATAGAAATGCGGGCCTCTTAATAAATCTATTTTTGAAATGGATTTTAAGACTTAAATTTTAAGGACATATAATCTTTAACATGGAGTTCATGAATATGAATAAATAAATAAATTTTAAAAATTAGAAATAATAATTCTAATAAGAAAACATTTGGACTGCTAGTTTCCATTGTTTTTAGATAGAACACCTACTTGCATACATCTTGAAGATGGACACTTTACACTTTTTGGACCGCATATGTAGAAATGCGGTCCAGTCCGCATGAAATAATTTCCCTTCATTTCAATACAAGTAATTTAATTTTAATACAAGGAGATTACAATTACTCATGTCCGTTAGATTTTAAATCACCTGGTTGAATGTCATTGACTAAACTCAAAGTTCAAAAAACAATATCACCCCAAGCTTTCCAATTTGACATCTAATAACAAGTACTAATTGTGTCATCCTGTAACAAAAATAAATGGCCTCAATATACAATCCCTTAAAATAAATATTTGTATCAAGTATTATATTTGAGTCAGGAGAGTGTACATCTCATAATTAGGGTGAACTTCTCATAATAAGATAATCCTTTTTAAGCGATTAATTACCTACAAGCTTAAAAAGCATGATCCATCTTCTCAAATAATTAATACAATCAATAGAAAATATGGAGTGAGAACAAGATATTCAGCAATTTTTCTGATTGATTATTTAAGAAGCAAAGAAGTGAATCTGAGGGAAGATGAGCTAGGTCAAAGCAATTTTTTATCATTAGAGTAACTACTTTCTAAATGCTGACATGGCTTTTTCTAATAAATGAAGTAAAATAAAAGAAGCGCTTAATAAAAGGAAACATTAACGTTTAAGTCAGAGATCAATTTGAACATATGCAAGAGTTGACTAGCACAAAAACCCACCATCATTCATCCGTGATATCCATTCTCCAATGTGAATTTCATCCTGCAAAGTGCAAGTAACTTGCTTATATGACAATTAGATAAGATTAGCTTCCTTAGGAAGAGATTGCAGAGGGGACCTTTGAGGATGGGAAAATGGAATATTTTGTCTGAACCCACAGAAACCAGAAGCTTCAACATCGGTCTCCACATCCATGTTTTGGAAGACCTATGCATAAACGACAATCAAGGCTATCAAAACTATAGTCTAATGGTTAGGATCAAATGGAGAGGTCCAAGGAAGCAATTCCGGAAAAGTTTCAACTCCCCAAAGGAATGTACCAGGATGCAACTCGTCAAACCAGATGGCACAGTTGAATGGAACGAGGGGTTCAACCATGTTTGCAAGATGATGATGGAAAAAATGGGAAGCTTCAGATCTTGGGATATCCAACTTGCGGTTCATGTAAGCTATAATCCACTGACATAATCCTTTTCCAAATTATAGATGTTTCTTGTTTTATTTTTTATGGGTTTTCTGAATGGCAAGAAGTTTATATCTCGTTATGGTCACAATTTCATCAACATGTGACAATCTTTTTAACTATACAAGGCATCTACCTTGGCCAAAAATTATCAGGGATCAGATCTGAACTCCAATGATAAAGCATCTAACTTGGCCAAAGTCATTTTGGATGTCGCCCAATTCATCCCTTCCAATAGTAACAGCTCAAAGAAGACAATCAGTATTCCGATCAAGTGCAATGTCAAAGATTCCACTATTGAGGCGGCACTCAAAGTAAGGCTTGCAAAACTCTAATCTCTATGTTTTATGTCTCGTGTCTTTCAGTTGAAAGTTGAACATCAAACAACTGAATCACTTCCAGAATCCATACCAAAGTATATAACTTCATGCATAATAACTACATATGAGTATAATTTGATGCCTTTATTTTTCAAGATCAGATATAGGATTTGACTGAAATTCCATCCAACATCCAAAAGTTTATAGTTTCCAGCCACGGACTCATTAGCATGCAACTCTTCATATGTAGGTCATGATTTCATTAATGATCTGTTCTGAGATTTTTCTCAGGTGAGCTTCAAGTTTCATGAGCTTGGAACCAACGACGAACCAACAAAATCGCCAGTTAGAGCTCAACTTTTACCCACGCTATCATGCATCGGATTTAATCCTCAACAAGTCCATAGACCTGAACATATTAAACCCAGTATAAAGAAGGTTAGCTCTCAAAAGATTCAGAGTCAGTCACTCAAGGGAAAGAATGCTATATCACATGTTGATGTTGACCCAAGCAATTATAGATACTCTCCCAACTCATCAAAAGACTCCTTCACATGTTCCTCATCTGAAGAGGAAAACCGAATTGTATACAAAAATTTACCAGAACTAAATTTTCTCGCAGAAACCTCTACATCTGAGAATGATGAGAAAAAAAGTCTAACACTAAGTCCTGTCCAAACTATCTCTGAAAAGACTACCAGACATCCCTCTCTGATAAGACTCACTTCTTGGAAAAAAGGGAAACTAAGTTTCAAGGTAAGTCACCCTAAAGGAACTCCACTACTAAACAAGGCGAGTCAAGAAGGTGGGGATGACATTCATGATGACCGACGTCACCAATTAAGCACATCCCATTTACCCATTCAGCCAAAAGAAGAGCTTGAACAAACCCAACATGGGTTTGAAGATGAAGATCACTTTGCAGTGGGAAGGTGGGAGAAGAAGAGATTCACTAGCAGAGATGGGAAGATGGAGCTATGTGCTCAAGTGTTCCTAGCTTCAATTGATCAGAGAAGTGAGGAAGCAGCTGGTGCAGGGGCTTGCTCAGTTCTTGTAGCTGTTATTGCTGATTGGTTGCACAAAAACCCCAAGAATCTGCCAATCAAATGCCAATTCGATACCTTGATACAAAAAGGCTCTTTGGAATGGAGAAAACTATGTGAGAACAAGAGTAACAAAGATGAATTCTCCGATCACCACTTTGATATCGAAACAGTACTGCAGGCAGGAGTGTCTAGGCTATCAATCCTCTCAGAGAGATCCTATGTAGGGTTTTTTATACCTGAAAATGTACCAGAATGTTGTGAATTCTTGCAAGCAGCCATGTCTTTTGACAGAATGTGGGAGGAACTCATAGCTTCCCCATCAGAAGAGGCAATTTACATAGTCAGCTGGAATGACCATTTCTTTGTTCTAAAGGTTGAAACTGAAGAAATATTTATTATAGATACACTAGGGGATAGGCTTTCTGAAGGATGCATACAGGCATATATTTTGAAGTTTGACAAAGAGACAGAGATACGCAGATCAAATATGGAGGATCAAATTGATTCAAAACAGAGGCCACAACAACATGGGGATGCTGATCATGGAATATCCGCTTCAGAGTTGCCTCCTGAATCCTCAGCAGAAGTCATACGTAAAGGAAAGTCCTCCTGCAAAGAATTTATCAAGGGATTCCTAGCAGCTCTTCAGCTAAGAGACTTAGAGCAAGATGTTGAGAGAGGCCATACGGGAAAAGCCTCTTTGCATCAAAGGTTACAAATTGAGTTCCACTATACTGTGATACAAGAAGAAACAGCCCAAACTGTAAAGGAGAACAAAATCTCAACATCCTAATGAGATCAACTGGATAGACTGATTCATTCACCTGTTCATGTCTATAAATATTCAAGATAATAGGATGATCAATTTTAAAATTGTGATCATCAACTGAAGGAATAATAGCTTTCAGTCTGGGCGAGAGAATAATAATTTTAGATTCAGCTTTATACATTTCTAAAAAAATAGAAAATACGGCTGAAACTTCACAAATAAACCAAAGTTTAGTTACTTCAAGTCTCAAATTTGAGGATGGCAGCATCAATATCCCTTTTACTTTTCAATTAAGATAAGAAAAAATTGACGAAGGACCAAAATTTATCACTGTTGGCTGATACAGGTGTTCGCTTTTGAAGTGGTGAGAGAAATTCTATTTGACGGAATTCCACTCTTGCACACAAAATGCTTAAAAATTCCTCCACAAAGGAAAACACAATAGGTGAATATATAGGCACCTCACACTTTAAACTAGCAGTCTATGCCTTTGTTCTTTTTTCTGTTTCAAGAAAGAGTATTATTGATGAGCATTATATATTGTTTATGCATAATAAGAATTGCATTGAAATTTGACAAATTTAACAATCCTAATTCATGTTCTAAATTCGAACTGAAAAAAAAATAAAAATAAAAATTCCAAAGAATTCATGTTTGTGCCTTGAGAAAAATAATAAGATCACATGACCAGAGAAATCATTAACAAAGTCATGAGTCATACAGGAGACACCATACCCTGAAATGAATTCAAGCTCACATGCAATCTCAAATAGCAGTTGCAATAGCTACTACATTTAGATCGATGCATTCTAGTTGAAGCAACATTTTCATTATTTTTTTTTGAACTGTTGAAGCAACATTTTCATTTTGTAAACACAATAAGATAGTTTAATTTTTAACACCAATACTCAGTCAATGATAATATAATAGGTAACTAACTTAGATTGCAAAGGCTGTGACAAAGAACTGTAGCAATCAGAGAAGAATCTTAACTCATTGACAAAGTAATATTCTGAATGAAAGGAGTGGCTATGTCGAACTCAAGGTATTAAATTCATAAATTTTTCCTTTTCTTTGATTCAATATACCTGAATTCCACTTACATAGGCTACGACATAGTGTTGCAGATCAAAATCAAAGCCCTAAATACAACTTAGGATCTTCAATTTTACTGCTAAAGAAAATAAAAAACATTCAGGAGCAATAAACAATCTTCCAATATAGTTTTGAGCACAATATATGTTCCTGAAAATTCACCAAAAAATATAAAATATGGCTAAAAAAAAAACAATTAAACCAACCAGCAAGACTTATTAGACAATGCCTAGAGTCACCCTAACAAGGCTTGATACACCCCACAGCCCATTTCCTAACCGATGGCGCACTTTTAATTCTTTTAAGTCTTGCTGGAATTTTTGAGATAGAGAAGCTTTACATGCAATACCTTTTAATCAATCGAGGGTTTTAGAGAGCTCAAATATTCTACTAGGGTTTGTAGAAACCCTATACGAAGAAATTTGGACTGAGGTTGAGAATTGATCTCTCTCTCTCTAGGTTGCATGAACCTCTCTTTTCTTCAAAAATCATTAAACCCTAGTCCTAGGGTTTCATGTGCCACCACCTATGTTCTTTTCATTTTTGGGTGTCTTAACAAGTAAGAGAAGGAGAGAAGGTGGTGTCACACCAAGAGAAGGAGAGAGAGAGTCATGTGCCAAAATATACGAGAAAAAGAGACTTCCTTTTTCTGGGGGGCGTGAGAGAGAAAAAATATTTAGCGTGACAAAGAGAGAGAGAGATATTGGTGTGAGGAGAGAGGCTTTTGTCATGATTTGAGAGAGATTCAAATAGGGTTTAAATCGATAAAAATCTATCCCCCACTTTGAATATGATTTCTTCTAGGTATGCCTTATCTTATTTTGCCCAGCTTGATCATTAGGATATTAGGAAATTTGCCGGGTGAGAGAGATTAAATCTGAGCCATCCATCCCTCAAGTCAATCAACATGATTCTGGGTGGAAATTAAGAACCTTATCCCCTTATAATTTGACTCAAGTTCAACTTCTATTTAAATCTGAATTACAACCACTTTTAGTATTATCTAGATTATCCAAAATCTATAGGAAGTCAAAGATAATCCTTTACTTTAAATCTCCCACTTGAATAGGGAACAGATCTATTTTAATTTTAAAAGATTCCCTAAATAACCAAACTTTTAACATAAAGTGGGGTGTGCCACCCTAGGAGCATTATATGAACCCCACAAGGCCACACTTCCTACTCATGGGTGGCACACACATATGGGGCTGGATCCTTGATCCCCACATGTGCCTTTCCAAGTTCTGAAAATTTTGAAAATACCATTTTTAATGAATTTACAAAATAAATAAATTTTTTAAAATTTTGGAAAATTTTATAAAATTATAAAATCATTTCTAATACTAAAATAATATATTTTAGAAGTGGATTGGTACTAATGGGCAAACATTAGCGACAATAAGGGAACTCCACTTGACCCATGAATTTTTCTCATCCAAACCAACAAAAACCCATGATCCACAATCTCAATGCAAGGGCTCATGATTGGCTTATCAAAATTAGACAATAAACAATGAAACCATGATCTTAGAATGTAAATTTTAGTTCCCCCTTAAAAAGCAAGTCTAGCATCTGTCACCACAGTGCAAATGAGGCTCTCTATGCACATGTGCACGTGTCCCTCTATAGGGCTGCTTCACAATAATGCGGTTGTCAAGTGTACATGTCATGCGGAAGTTTGTTGAGACTTTGGCCCTTGCTCTCACAGGCCAATAACCAAACACAGGAGAGCACACAGTTTCCCTGGCCTATAAACATTATCCTAGGCATTTCTCCAACCTCAACATCGAATGACCCACTGTAAACCCTTCTCGGTAGTGCCACATGCCCAAGGGTAAGCGTTTTAGAACATAAACCCTAGGCATTTCTCCGAGCTCAACAAGGAATGACCCACTGTAAACCCTTCTCGGTTGTGCCACATGCCCAGAGGTAAGGGTTTTCGAACATAAACAAGTCATAAACTGCCAAACCCATGGTCAGTCAATACACACACTCTCACTGAAGTGCATATTCCACTATAAAGCATTATACTTTTACAAGCTCCCAAGGCCTTTAAAGGTTACAAAACCCAACATCTCCCACTTGGGTTTTGAAGGTCGTACAATCACTCCCTCTCAGTCTCTCAAGCACATCCCAAGACACGTTTGGCAAGAACATTTGCCACTAATACTTTTGTCAAAGGATCTGCTAACGTAGCCTCTTTCGGGAGATAAACAATCTCAATCTCTCTTCAAATCGTGTTGCAAATGTGGTAGTATCATGGGCTTTATATGCCTCGATTTCTTGTCAAACCTCGGCCCTTTTGACACACAAATAGCGATTCTAACACACTGGCATTTCATTGGATCAAATCTGCGTTGATTCAGGAACTTCTTCTATCAGACTGCTTATTTAGCCACGAGATAACAGGCCACATACTCTGACTCCATAGTCGAGAGTGCAACAACATCATGCTTCTTTGAGCACCAAGAAACGGCTCCACCTGCAAGCATGAAGACATATCTGGATGTGGACTTCATCTCATCTGGATCGCCTTTATAGTCTACATCTGAATATCCTTGTATCTGTATAAACAAGCCTCCTCCATAAGTGAGTGTGTAATTAATTGTTCCCTTCAAATATCATAACACTCTTTTGATGGCCTTCTAGTGCTTCATAGCTAGATAACTCTGGAACCTGCTATTAGTGACCCAACTGTACTTATGCATGAAATTCTCTGCATGGCTTCCTTTTCTTCTGGAGTAGTGGGATACAATGACTACGCTTACCTTGGTCTTCTTATCAATGGGGGTTAATATGGCCAGCAATTGTCCATTTCAAATCTTTCAAGAATTTTCTTACTATGTCTCTTGAGATAATTGAATAATTCTCTCTTTTCTGTTTCGGGTAATTTTGATTCCCAAAACATATGATGCTTTTCCACGATCCTTCATGTCAAAGTGTTGTGACAAGAAAGCTTTTGTCTCTACGACACTCATCGAACTACTAGCAATTAACATGTTATCCACATAGAGAGATGAAAACAATGGGACATATATACAGTAATCATCCTGGTTAGCCACAAAACCAATGACAAGGTCTCCTACAACTCAATGTACCACTGCCTTGATGCTTGTATAAGGCCATAAAGGGACTTATTGAGTTTATATACTATTGATACTAGGTTTTCCTTTCTCTTTTCTATGAAGCCCTCTGGTTGTTTCATATAAATTTCTTCTTCTAGGTCGCCATTCAGAAATGTAATCTTAACATCCATCCAGTGGAGTTCAAAGTCAAAATGGGTTGCTATGGCTATTAGGATTCTAATGGAGGGAAATTTTGCTATAGGGGAGAAGGTCTCATGATCAATTCCTTCTTTCGAGGTAAACCTTTAGCAACTAATTTGGTTTTGTATTTCTCCAACTTCCCTTCCGAGTTCAACTTCTTCATGTAAATCCATTTGCAGCCTATTGGTTTTCTGTCAAGAGGTAGTTTTACTAATTCCCAAACATTGTTTTGTTTGATCGCGTTAAGTTCATCAATCATGGCTTCTTTCTATTGGGCCTTTTTATGACAAGTTATGGCCTCTTGGTAGGAACAGGTTTCATGCAGAGACTCTTCTTCAATTCTCTCATAATATTCTCTTAGATAGGTGAAGAACTCAGGTTTTCTTCTAATTTGGCTACTTCTCCTAAGATGAGGTGATTCAGGATCTATGACCTCACTCATGTCACTCTCTATCTCATACTTGGCTTGTTTCTGAGTGGCACGATCCTCACGGAACACTTCCTCAAGGAAATGGGCATCCCTACTCCGTACAGCCCTTGTGCCAGGATTATAGAAACATTATCCCTTACCATGTGGTGGCCATCCTATGAAGATGGACTTGACAGTCGTAGGATCTAATTTTGTCCTATTTTGATGGGGTATTAGGAAATGGACAGAGTAAG